CAGCCGGATCCCGGCTCAGTCGGCAGAGCAGTCGGCGCAGCACAGCCTCAGTGCCGAGGGATGCCGCCTTCTCCGGCAGCAAGTATGGAGAGACCAGCTTAGAGGCGCCTATAGCCATCGCCACCGCCAGCCCCAATCCAGTTCTGCTCCTTCAGCCCCCCGGGACCCACAGAGCCTACACTCAGTCCCGCACTGCTCCAGCTCCCCGGCCGGGCTGTGCAGCCAGCCCCACCAGAGACCCTGCTGTGGGGGGCTCCTCCCAGCATGCTGGGGTGCTAAAGGGGGTGTGGGTGCCATGAACCCAGCGCCTATAGCCATCGCCACCGCCAGCCCCAATCCAGTTCTGCTCCTTCAGCCCCCCGGGACCCACAGAGCCTACACTCAGTCCCGCACTGCTCCAGCTCCCCGGCCGGGCTGTGCAGCCAGCCCCACCAGAGACCCTGCTGTGGGGGGCTCCTCCCAGCATGCTGGGGTGCTAAAGGGGGTGTGGGTGCCATGAACCCAGCCAGCACTGGCAGCAGAGCCCCGGCACTGTCTGCTCACTTGGCTCCTGCTCCAGCCCCAGAGCCTGCAGGGATGCAGGGAACCCCCCTCCCACTCCCAGAGATATCCCCCCAGCCCCAGGCTGATGCAGGGTCACTCCTCACTGCCAGACCATCCCCTCCCAGCCAGCCCCAGCCCAGGAAGGGCCCCCCATGGCACTGGGGCACCCCACTACGCTGCTGAGGATTCCTCGCCCAGCCCACCCCCATGCCCAGCATGGACCCGCACACGCCTCCAACCCCCTGAATCAGCACGCACAATGAGCCGACTGCACACGCCTCCAACCCCTGAATCAGCACACACAATGAGCCGAGGCCACCCCAAAGAGGACAAGCCCCCCTCCCACAGCCCCCCAGCCTAGCACCCCACTCCTGGTGCCGTACTTGCGGTTCCTCTCCTTCACCACCATGCGGGTCATGCTCTGGATGCACTGCGTGCGGTAGTTCTCGTAGTGGGTTTCCCGCGTCACGTCCTTGAGGTCCTGCATGTGGGTCCTCACCAGCATCGTCCGCAGCTTCACAAAGTCACAGTGGGACGGGTTCTCCACTGCGGAGGAGCCCAGGGTCAGGGGGCCACAGACACAGGGGTCCCCTGTGTCCCCCCAAGCCACCCCAGGCTGAGTAGCATGGAGATGGGACATGCGATGTCCCTGTCCCCCCAGGGCTGGTGGGACACCGGGGACACAGCCCAGCGTTACCTTCCGCGATGCCCCAGGGGTAGAGGCGCCCGCGGATGCGCCGGCCTTTAACCTCCACGACCGTGTTGCTGCCGATGACGGCGAAGGGGATGCTCTCCTGCAAGAGGATGGCAGGGGTTAGCCAGGCTCAGTCCTGCCCGCTGTGGCCCATGTCCCTCCACACGCATCTCCTTGGCCATATCCAGCGCCCGTTTGCTGAGATACCCGGGAGCCCCGGCTAAGGAGAGCCCCAGCTGGGATGGCAGCAGTGGTGGCATGGGTTTCTCCACCCCAGCACCATCCCACCTAGCTGCAGGTGGCAACTGTGGAGTCTTGGTGACACATCCAGGTAGTGCATGTGTCACCCCATGCTGGGGCTGCCAGAGGGCTTGTGTGGCCCCAAAGGGTCCCAAAGGCACCCCAGGATGATGTGTCCTCCTGGCTGTGGGGCTCTGCCCTGCCAAGGATGGAACTGGAGGAGCCAGACCCACCTTCAGCGCCTGGTCCTGCAGCTTGAACTCCTCATCCTCGTCTGAGTCGCACTCAGGGAACTGGTATATGCGGATGCCATAGTGGTCAATGTCCTCCCGGATCTGGAGGCAGACAGCCCGCTAAGGACAGGGCTCTCGGAAAAGGGGTGGGAAGCGCCACACAGTCCCGGTGTCCGCCCAAGGACCCACAAAACCTGTTCTCCCCAGACCAGATGCCACAGACACCTCCCTCAAACCCTTCCAGCCCCCAGCTGAGCACCAGGGAGATGGGTCCTTGGTGGCCTCATGGGCAACAGGGTCCCCTACAGTGCTGCGGTTATGGAGAAGACTCCATGGCAAAGCCCAGGCAGGGGACGGAGAGAGCCTCCAGCCGAGCAGGGATCCTCCCAGGGGCCCACGGGACAGCTCCAGGCTGCACCAACCTCCCCCCAGCAGCATCTCGGTGTCCTACCGGAAGCAGTCGGTGTGCCAGCCGGCGCCCAGCGCCCCCGGGACAGCTCCAGGCTGCACCAACCTCCCGTTACCTTTTTCTTCATGCGCTCCACCTCGGCGGGGGTCAGGGTGTCAGCCTTGGCCAGCACCGGCACGATGTTCACGCGCTGGTGCAGGGCTCTCATGAACTCCACGTCCAGGGGCCGGAGCCTGCGGGGGGAGCCCAGTGAGCACCATCCCACCAAGCCCCCTCCCCAGCATCCCCTTCCTGGCAGGGGCTGCCCGTACCCATGGCCAAAGGGCGAGATGAAATAGATGCAGCAATGGACGCGATTGTCCTGGATATTTTTCCGGTTGAGGCCACTTTCGTCACGGAAATATTGCTCAAACTGCTGGTCGATGTAGTCGGCCACTGGCTTCCAGCTGTGGGGACAGGGAGGTGACCATCGAAGTCCCCTGTGGGACCCCCCGGCTTTCCCTGGACCCCCAGCTCAACACCTCCCATGGCTTAGCATCACACCCCAGGGAACTGTGGGCATCCCACCCTCGGAGCTGCTGGCACCCAGGGTGGCACTGCCCGGCCCCGGGGAGAGCCCCCATCATGGGACGCACCACTCAGTGTTGTTGACGGCGTCACCAAAGCCTGGAGTGTCCACAATGGTCAGGCGCAGCTTGACGCCCTTCTCCTCGATGTCCACCACGTGCTTGGTGATCTTCACCGTCTGCGTGATGCGCTCTGCAGCAGCAGGAGACATGGAGGAGACGGGGTGAGGGGACCCCAGCTGAGGGACAAGGGAGGTGACACAGGGAGATGCTGCAGCCCCTGGGTGTCACCTTCCTCCCCGGGGGGCTGGGGTGGCTTTGCACGATCCTTCCCCACAAGCAGCAGGGTCCAGTGCTGAGAAATGATGCTCCACACCACGGCGCCCCGCATCCTGACATGGATGCACACCTTTCCCTCGGTGGCCGTGCCACTGCCACCCCGTGACAGCCCAGCTCCAGGAGCACAGGGAGCTGCTGGGGCTGGGCATCACCGCGGGAGTGATTTTGGCTCCCTGTACCCCCACATGTGACCCCATGTCTCCAGGACCGCATACGCCCCTTTACCCCAGGCCCCCCCATGTCCCCCCATCGCTATGTCCCCAAGGATGCTCCCGTGGCACGGTGTGCGTGCGGCCACATGCGGTTTGGCTTTTGCTCCAAGAAACGGAAATGAATCAAACAACCGCCTCAAAACAAATCAAACAACCGCCTCGAACCCCTGGGAATTTGGGCAGGTTTGGGCGATTTTAATCCAAAGACTGGCTGCACGTGCCCTGGACCCCGACTGTCCCCAGCCTCCCGGATTTGCTGTGGCTCCAGCCCATCCCCAATAAGCTGAGACTTGTTTCCCAGCAGGGACAAAGCCCACACGGGGGGTCCCCGTGGCGGGCAGGGGTGTCCCCGCTGCCTTGGAGACAGCCCCAGCGCCAGCGGGCAGCTGCCAACTCGGCTTCAGAGACCCGGAGGAGCCTGGCTGGGCAGGGAGGGGGCCTGCAGCCCCCCAGGAGTGGCTTGGGGATCTGCCACCCCCTCGGGACATCCAGCACAGCCCATGGCTGGGGCTGCCCCCCCTCACCTTCGGCGCTGAGCAGCTTGCGGTCCCTGTACATGTCGGTCAGGAAGAGGCTGTTGACCAGGGTGGACTTGCCCAGCCCGGACTCTCCTGGGAACACGGGACAAGGGTGAGGGGGGGGCAGCCAGTACTGTGGGACACAAGCCCAGAAACAGGGGTGAAAGCTGGCCCAAGGCCATGCCCTGGCACAGTCCAGATCCCCCCCTTCCACAAGGATTTTGTCAGCAAGGTCAGAATCCCTGTGGCAGCCCTCCCCTCCCCGTACCTGCCACCATCAGGGTGAAGTCGAAGCCCTTCTTCACCGACTTGCGATGGACCTGGTTGGGCAGTGTGGCGAAGCCCACGTACTCCTTGTCATCCTGCAGGCAGAGGGATGTGGGACAGGGAATGCCACCATGCCACCCCCTCC